CCCCAGCCCTCATAGTGCTATTTTGGAAGATAGTGTCAGCTTAAATTTGATCTCTCCTCAAATTTAAAATGCTCTTGTTGAAACATAACATTTGCCGCTCCTTACATCTGTATAACTCACCTTGATATTTAGACTTCCCTGTCAGAGTTGTAGAGAAAGAAGAGAAAGGATGGAAAGAAACGTTTAATTTAAATTAGAAATAGGCCTGTGGGTTATTTATTTATTTTATCCTCTACTGGGAATGGAACCCAGGGCCTCACACATGCTACACATGCACTGTACCACTGAGCTATATCCACAAGCCTTTTAAAATTGTATTCTGAGACAAGGTCTCTCCAAGTTGCTCAGGCTGACCTTGAATTTGCAGTTCTCCTGCCTCAGCCTCCTGAGTAGCTGGGATTATAGTGGTGCACCCTGAGCAAAGGTGCTTTGCGTTTTTTTAAAAGCTCATGATTCATCAATACTTGACTGTCTTAAAAATCAGTCATATAGCTAGGTGTGGTGGCACATGCCTATAATCCCAACTACTAGAGAGTCTGAGGCAGGAAGATTGTAAATTTGAGGAGGCAAGTCTCAGCTAAGTTAGTGAAACCGTGTCTCAAAATAAGAAAGGACTGGGGATGTAGCTCAGTGGTAGAGTACTTCTGGCTTCGGTCTCCACCATTGTGGGGAGGGAAGGAAGAAGCTGCACATAATTATTATGTTAATAAAAACACAGTTGACTGCAAACTTTCATTCATTCATTTGGTAAATGCTTATTGGGAACCTTATTATTGTACTCATCTAGGCAATGTGTACGTCAAAATACATAAGATATAGGACTTCCCTACCTTAGGCCTTAATTCTGGAGTATAAAATGAGCCTGACTGTGCACCTGCCTACATTCCAGTACTACTAGCTTTATCCAATTAGGTAATGGCTATATTTCCTTCAACTTAAAGGTCAAAAAGCTTAGTCCCAGGTAAAGCCTGCCACATGTAGGAGAAATTTCTTTCTAGTCTTGGCTCATTTTTTAAGATTCATGCAGATTTGACATTTACTTCACATTACAGCTTTGGGTTTTTAAAAATACATATAAATACAAGAGTATTTCCCCTTAAAGAAAAGAAATATAAAATAGTCCTGGTCCTTAAGAAGTTTACAGTTTAGTAAGTTCCTGTATTGGATCACAGAATAAAAACTTACCGCATAATTTTTGTGTTCCTTGCCGGTTTTATTGAAAATCCTTTTCCCTTATCATTTATTTAACACTGCTTCTGTAGAGTCATACTGTGTGTTGGGAGTTATATGCATCCACTTCTTGAGTGAGATGGTGCTGTTTTGACTTTTTAAAAAATGATTAGGTCGCACGACTTTTGATCTTCTTAGGGAAAGTAGGGCGCATACACACACACGCAAACATGAGTGCAATGAAAGGCAGAGGTCTTTTTTTGTTTTTTGATAACATCCCATAGGGCAGACATTCAGTGAGCACACAATATTCAAATGAATGAATCAGTTGAAAGATGAATAGAGGATGGAACCGTGTGATTTTAGTCATGTAACTAATCATCCCTATGTGAAAAACAAACATGGACTGAGGATCAGAGTGTGGAGTACTAAGTGAGGTGGACCTGGAAAGATTCAAAATGGAAGGTTTTTTAAATAAAGTTCTGCAGGAAAAGGCAGTCAAGACAGGCATTCACTAACAGGAAGCTGACCCTGCATTTCCATCTTGGGATCCAGCAACATTTGCACAGTGAGGTTTTCTTGACAYGAAAGACAAGCTTCTGCTAAGAAGGGTGACAGCAGTGAATGAGAAGAGCCTCCAGAGAATGGACAGTCGTTTGGGGGAGTAGAAGAAAAATCAAAAGAGAAAGATAAATAGAGACTTTACCCCTTCTGCAGAGAGCTCAGCAGCCAGGTGTGAGCACATCTGCTCTTGCCACACCCAAGCTGGGAGTGAAGACTGTGAAAGTAGAGCTATTTTGTTGTTTGGGTTTGAATAGCTTAGGAAACAAGGCTCTTTCTGTGTTCCATTAAAACACTTTCCCCTTCAGCCACCCCACACTCCTCCCTGCTGCAGTTCTGTTCTCAGTGGTAGCGTGTTGCCTCAGGGAGGAGTTATTTCTAGAAGAGGATGGGAAGTGTTTGAAGTGCTTCCCAGTTTCTCCCGCCCAGGTTTACAGAAAACCCCACTTATCTTGGGCACTGTGTACATTGGAGGGAACCACAGTCCACAATAAAGCATTGAATATGTGTAGCATATGTGACATGYTCCCTCCTAACTGTGGAGATTATGGGAAATGGTCCATGGGAGGCTCTGAAACAGGGCTCAACTTTTCCTCTGCCCAGCAAAGGGCCAGTGTGCAGGTTTCAGTAAGGCCCATTGCTGAATCTGCCTTTGGCTATCCGCCTGGTTTCTGTCTTCCTTTCCTTACTCAGGCCCACCTTTACCTTCAGTTTTCTTTTACTTTTATATAYTATTTATTTAGGAGTGAACCCAGAGGTGCTTTACTGCTGAAGTACATCCTCAGCCCTTTTTATTTWWTTTTTTTAATTTTGAGACAGGATCTCAACTAAGTTGCTCAGGGCCTTGCTAAGTTGCTGAGGTTGGCCTGGAACTTGCCATCACTGTACCTGGCTGGGATTACATTTTTATTAYAAACCAAGCTTTCCCCCTGCCTTCTCCTCTCATCCCAGTATGGGAGATCGAACCCAGGGTCTCATGCATCCCAGGCACGTGTTCTACTACTGAGCTCCATCCCCAGCATTTTTGAACCTAGCATTTTTGATGTATCATTGTTTCTTTGGAGAATCAAGGTTCCAGTGAACTACATTGCTTCTATACATGGTAGAGGAAAAAACAGTCTATTTCTTCAGGAACCCACCCGACTCCCTAGTTTTTACAGCATCACACAGCACCATTGCATTCTGAGTTGGCCCTGCTCTGCAACATGAGTGAAATTGATCAAGTAATTGAACACAGGCAATGAAATGACCCGAATAACTCAATTTCTTTCTAGTAAATTAATCTTGGGCAGTATCCTAGACAAGACACCTTTGAAAACAACTAATTTGGCTTGACATTGTTCCTTTAAAGGTTTTATAAATAATTGCCTGCTGTAGGCATGTCTAGGCAGCTGCATTTTAATTAAGCATYCCAACTGACTAGAAGTCATGAAAAATGATCTTGAAGATAACAAAATATTTAAGAATTTTTACCTAGATCCAACAATGGAGAGACAGGTGAGTGATCAGCCACAACTCACCTTAGCTGGTTCTTCAAMGGAATTGTTAGCTTAGTGGAGCACCAGATATCTGACCATCTGAAAGGGCAGTGTGACCCAGGGTAGCAGGCAAAAATGAGGTAGCAAGTTGTTGTGAAACTAACAATAGYTCAGCTCTGTGCATACAATATTGTAGTGTCCAGCTTTTGTCACATGCCTCTGCAGTATCCAGTAAAATGCCTYGTATAAATTCGGTAATCAGTTGGGTTGAATATACTGAAAAGAATTCTGCCTTCCCAAAATAACAAAAAGTACAGATTTTTTAAAATGGGACCTCATTCTTTTTAATAACTTGTTTTTTTTTTTCTTGGCAGGTTCATATAAGTACCACCGGGTTAATTGTGACCCCACCCCCAAGCAGCCCAGTGACAACTGGYCCCTCATTCACTTTCCCGTCAGATGTCCCCTACCCAGCTGCCCTTGGAGTGAGTATAGCTTCAATCTTTATTTTTTCTTTTTAGTATTTAGTCATGTGGATCTGGCACACTCTACTTCCTGTCACCTGCAGTTTATGCTGATACTTGCTGGGTGGGATGGATCCCTATCTTTAATCTTAATAACCTTAATCTTAATAGCCTTAACTAACCTTACCAAAAAAAAAATAGAGAATCTCTTGCTTGGAACCTGAACATTGTTTTAACAATGAGGATCATTGGCCTGAAGCTATTGGAAGAACTCTGAAAAACACATTTAATTTTATTACATTTCAACCTGGTTTTCTGAAGTCTTGGCCTTTAAAGACCCAATTATAGAAATACTTGAGGAGATAGATCCCAGAGGCTAAAGGGTTAGCTTTGAGTCACACGATACATTGATACCAACTCTGCATTTAGGATTCATCCTTCAGTTTCTCATCTAGTGTAGCAATAGCTACCTAAACATATTGACTGTCCTAGAAGGCTCCCTTAGGTTGTGTTGATTTCCTTCTGAAAACCATCCTACAGGTAGAATAATCAGTAATTGCTTAAAAACATCTGAATGGGAGAAATTCATAGGGAGAATTAGAATAGCTGAGGGAGATGGATTCAGAGCAAAGGAACACTGGAGACGGAATTCAAAGGAACAAGCAAATGCAAAGACCTTAGGCAGTTGAGAGAATCAGTAGTCCCTGCTTCCTAAGGTTGTAGGCAGTTGAATTTCAAGAAACTGGCAACAGTGAGACACCTCTTGTCTGGGCACATACCTTGGCTTGTACATTCAGACTATTTGTTCCAGCACTGGGTTGAATAAAGACAAAAACATCAGATTGCCACACTTCTRGACCATGGCATCGCCCAATCCCGCCCCACACCTGTGATTTGTGATGATGCGCTTAGAGAAGCAGTGTGGCCCGAAGATGGAGACACGGACCTGGGATGGAACAGACCTGGTTTGAAGTTCAGCTTAGCCCCTTATTTGTTACATGRGAAAGTTACTCGGCCTCTTCATGCCTCAGTGTCCCTACTTGTAAACTGAGATTGATAGTGTGTATGTCACAGAACRAGATCATAGAGAGGGCTGGCTATTACTGGTCTAGCCCTCCACTGAGGACTGTTGCAAGGTGGGTTTGTGAAATGTGCCACCGGTTTACCCTAAGAATGCTTTGGAGGGCCTGCCTCACTTTGTTATGGTTTCCTCTGCTCTCTGTGGTGGTGAGGGTTCTCAGCAGCTGGTTTGCCTTTAGGGTGTGGATTTTATATATGTTGTAAAGATTATGTTTTTCTCTGCTAGACAGCTTAGAGTCAAATTTGTAGCCCTGTCTAGAAAGGCTTTCACAACCTATCAGTTAAAATGTTGACTCCTTCTGGTTTTATCGCCCTCAGTTTACATTTGCTTAATTTTTCTTATCTAATATTTATTTTTCCCTGATATAGTTTATAAAGAGTTAAAAAACTGATTTTGAAACAAGTACAAATAGAGTTATTACCTACCTTTTGAAAACTTTATAGAGAATTAAATATATTCTTATATTTAAATGGAGTTAATAATGTCCCATTAGAAGTTAAATTTTAATTTTTTTTAATGTTCCCTGGATGGTTACAACTTCCTTGATAGTGTAATTGTTTGGTGAAGGAGACTGTGCCTTGATTCATCTGGGGAGAAGATGAATTTCAGTTAACATTTTTTAAATGTGGTTTCCATGAGAATCTATTAGCCCCGGATGTTTGACTGGAGCCAAGTTTCATAAGCATCCTGCCCTCTGATCTCCTGGGGAGACTCTCCCCTTCCTTTCCCACCCCCAGTGCACACATATAACTAGTTGGTATTTCCATTTTAAGATGACCACTTTTCCTGGAAAATTCTAACTTGATTTCTTAAGGTAAAGGAAAAAAAAAAGACTTTTTCATCTTAGAAAAATTAATTAGTGGAAAAGACCTAAGGCTGGCTGAGTTTCAGCCCTTGTGAGCTGAAAATTTTACAGTATGGTAAATGGTCAATTCCTTTTAGCTGGGGGCCTAGTCTAGAGCAAATCAATAGGACAGGTCATAAGAGAACACGAATATATAAAAATTAATTTATATTCAACCATGTTATCCTAGGATTATATAAGAAAGCCTTCATGTTAAGCAAGAGAAAGATTTATTAAACAGTATGTCTAGTGTGCCAATTCCATTTAATGAAAAACTAATTATAAACAGACTTGTCTGTCATCCCTGGAGATGTCTCGATCTCAGAGTCCCTGGTAGGCCGGCAGAAATGTTTCAGATTTAATATGTTACGTTTAAGCGGGAAAATCTCAGCAGCCTGTGCCCTCTGCGTCTTACATTAATTGTRGCAAGTATTCTATTTAAAATCTGAAATAATTTCTGAAGACTTTTGAGTACTATCGCAGCAATAGTATAYAGCTCAGTAGAAAAGAAACCAGACTTCTCATGGTATGATTTATATGTAATGAATGTCACCACTAGAATAGGAAATGAAGATTATTTCCAGTGTTTTTTCATAAATTGAGACTTTTTAATATTTTATACAGAATGAAGTTAGGAGCATMTGTCCCATACATTTCACATGCAACGGTTAAAATGTTAAATGTCTAACATTATGAGCAATGCTGGTATTCCAACTGTTGTGCTGAGACATCAAACCATCAAGAGTAGTGAGGTTTTTTTGACTGATTTTGTGGGATGGGGAGGGTGGAGATSTTAGCCTTGTATCTTCTGTGCACTAGCAGAAGAACATTTGGAACAAGTAATTAACAATCCCTGATCCTCAGTGCCAGTTGAGAGCTATGCTAGAGGCACAGTGAGTGTTCTCGTTCATGAAGCACTCAGGGAGGATCTCTTACCTTCTGGCTGCAGAGCCAAGTGCCAGCAATACAGAGAAGTGTGAGACAGTCTCTGACTTTACAGTTTCGTGAATCGTGACAATAGCTTCCATTTGTTGAGCTTCTGCTATACTCTGGGGTATGAATGGCAACTTATGTAAATCCTTTAAAATTMTTTTCTGATATCTACAACACCAAGATATACCCTGACATCATCACAAAAGCATGGAACAAACACAACCCACTCCAATTCAGTCCCCAGCACCTGCCCCCAACTCTACCAATCCCTGTTCAAGCCATATACAGTTTACTTTTTAAAAATAGTGTCAAATTAGTGTCCTGTAGATAGACCTGATGCCAGAACCCACTATTCCACATCTATACATGCACATAGAAAAGTTCAGTTAGGTTCATTCCACAATTCTTCCTCTTTCCCTTCCCTTCTTCCTCCCCATCAGTCCCCTTCATCTGTTCTCCTGATCTTTCCTTCAGTTTTATGGAATTCCTCTCAATTTTTCCCCCTTTCCTCTCCCTACCCCATCATTTTGGATTAACTTCCCCATATCAGAAAACATTCAACCTTTGGCTTCTGGGGGCTGGCTTATTTCACTTAGCATCAGAGTCTCCAGTTCCATCCATCTAATTATTACCTCTGTCTTGCAGATTGGTATATTAAGGCATAAAGACCTTCCATAATTTACATAATTAACTGGCTGGAAATATCTCTTCTTTCTTATAGATTAAATGTGGAATAATAAATTAYAGTTTATGCAGGCAGATGGTAATGCTGCTGAAATTGGAAGCACTGTTGACTTGAAGGAAGCATCTTCATGCAGTAGCTTGAACCATTCCCTCATCGACCACTGACATGTGTCTTGAGCTCAGTACCCAGAAAGACGGGTTAGAGATGTTGATATGTATGGTTGAAAGTGGGTTGATTGGAAATTAGATGTTTAAAGAGAAATGATGGGATTGAAGATGTTAAATGGTATTTGCACAAGAGACCCATTTTTTTTTGTACCTGGGAAGTTCATGAAGAAGATTCATACATAAAAAGACATTGGARAGGAAATGTTCCTTTTATGGTCAGTTGAGCTTGTGCCTGAAACTCGAGCGCAGAGCAATTTACTGGTAAACTGGCTTACAGCCCTTGGCCCAGGCTTGATACCTACTGAACAGTTTCCCTTATCCTTAGCCAAATCCAGATCTAACTGCTTTCTGGGCTGGTTGCATGAAAGGGCAAGAGGATGCCAGAAAGAAAGGGCTTCACACCCACGTACTTGAACTTTTCACTCCCAGTGTCAACTAGCAAATGAGGCCTGTCAGTATCTTGGAATACTGCCCTCAGAGAGAAGATGCTCCATTCCGTAGCTGCTCACTCTAGCAAAGGCGGGAAGTCAGAGACTGGCCTATGAGTCTGGACCAGGGTTGGAATCTGTCTTCTTTTCTGACAGCAAAACCCATATTGCTTCTACAAAGCAAACCTGTCTTTTTCAAAAATCGGGGTTCAGGAGAACAGACCCTGGAAATGGAAAACGGTGGCTATTAATTTCACGTTAGCAAGCCTCCGCAAACAAAATGTGACCTGTGTTCTTAGCAGGTCTGTAGGAGTTTGTTTGTTTTGTTTTGTTTTTGTCTGGTAGGGGAGAGTGCATCTTRGCCTCTGGTGCTTGGGCTGGACCAGACTGTGAGTTAATAGGCAGGTCTCCAGGTCCACTCCTGGTGAATGAAAGGCTATGGTTTTCTGTGTAGAAATTTCCAGTCTTGCAGGCTATCAAACTGCCTGAAGCACAATACATAGCAGATTACCTTTTGAACTTCCACATCACCAGAATATTTCAGTTTAGGTTGTTTATAAAGCAACCCACAGAACTTCCTTGTGTGTCCCAGCCCTGGACTTGGTCGAGCCCTATCATTTTACCAACCCACAGGGCCAAGCAGCATCTAGGAATCTGATTTTAATCAGTCTTTCTCTCTTGATCGTATGCACACTTACTCAGTACTGTGTGAGTGTGGGGTGGGGGGAATCTGTCCAATTTTATTCAGAACATCTATGCTTGACTATGCTTCAAACACAAAAAGAGAGAACTGTATTTTCTCTTAGGTACAATCTCCAGGATCTCTCAGAATATCCTCTTTTATGCCATATCTCGGTGCCTGACTCATTCTTTGCAAGTGTAA